ACGTGTGCATTGTGGGTCCCACTAGAGGTTTTTTGGATGACAGACGTTAAGTGGTGGTGAAATCAAAATTTAGTGTTTTTTGTGGTGTTATAATAAAAGTTTGAGAATTTGTGGTGTTATAAATAAATTTTCATCTTTTTAGTGGTGTTATTTTCTAATTTTTCCTAATAATAATAATAATACATGATTAATTGCTTGATTCTCGTAAGTAATTGCAAAAACGTTTTACTGAATTTGGTAGAGATCCAGAATTGCATTACATTCAAATTATTTTTTTTCTAAATATAAATAAATATATAAAGATAGGAGTAAAATCTATATCTATACTATATATTAAAAGACGTTACCAAGAACGTCGATGTGCCACGTAGTCCTTGTTTTTGTTGTCATGTCATCTTCTCAACATCTCATGACATCACATCATTACTCCATATAAAAATGTAAGGAGGATCGAAACCTCAACCTCTTATAACAAAGATGACTATTTCACCATCAAAGCCAATTATCAAGTATGTTATTTATATGTAAAAAAATTTATATAAGTGCAAACCACAAGGTTCAATTAAAAAGATACTAAAAAAAACTAAATTTTAGTTTGACAATGACAATTACAATTTTAAAAAGCCTTTAAAAAATTTTATCGATTGCACATTTACAATAGTAGCAACCCGGGGCAACGCCCGGACTACTCACTAGTTTATATTAAAGAAAAATATATAATGGTAAAGTAGGACAAAAAAATATGATAGTAAAATAAATATATATTTATTTTCTAAAACTATTTGGCAAAAAAAAAAAAAAAATCACTAAAGAGTTTTGACGGGAAATCTTTTATTAGGGAGTTGACACGTGTCATGTATTATTCCCCTTTAGACCTTTAGTACTAACTATATAGTTTAGTTACTAGCATAGTGCTCGTGCGATGCACGATTTATAAATCAAATTCTTAAACCCGTAGGAAAAATAAAAATAAAAACAAAGGTAATTCATTTACTATAAAAGGACTTGGTTACTAATGGTCAATAAAAAAAAATTAAAGGAACGTTATTTGAATAGTATTTTATGTTATTTGAATTTCTTTTAATTTTTTATAATGTTATTTTATTAATTGAAAAATAATTGAATAATACTCCACATAGCTATATAAGAAGTGGACTAATTTATATATATCTCCCGTTGAGAAAAAACTGAAATTTTCTTATCATACAAACCGCATCAGTAGCTACAATCAATCTAATATATACATGTTTTATTTACCCGTCGCACTCATTAAATCTATAGACACAATAATAACCTTATATTTGACCTACCAGAACATATATTTTCCTAAGTTAACCACTGTGCCAAAAACTATATATTATATAATAGTCACATATATAACCAACAGCTGATTTGAGGATCGGATCAGTTTAAGGTTATTAGGTTTCATTCCCCCTCCGATTGTTGTTGCAGGGAAACGAACACAGGTCCTCCCTACCTAGTGTACGTAGTCTCAATCACCACTACACCAACAACCAATTGGTGTAGTGGTGATTGAGACTACACTTGGTATGGAAGACACGTGTTATAAAATATTATATTATATACATATAATTTTTTATATAATAAAAAATATTATATTATATACACATACTATTATAGTTAAAAGTATTATTATGTATAAAACAACATAAATTATTGCACATGATTGTTGTATATCTAGTATAGTACATGAGCAATGCACGATTTTTAAATCAAAATGTTAGTTGTTCTAAAAAAAAATTCATAAGTAATAGCATTGTTAATACGAATATTACAATTTAAAACACAAGTAATAGTTATAATACATTTTATATCTATCCCTTTTCCGTCAAATGACTAATTCAATTTAACTTTTATTCTTCTTGTGTTAGATTGGTTATTAGTTCGGTTTTGTTTATGTTTTTTTTAATTGAAATTTATTTATTTATTTTTTTTTTATGCTAGAAAAACAAAAGGTCATTGTAAAAGACATTGTATAGAAAATGAAAGGCCGATTAAAAGTAAAATTATGTTCAAGATTATGTATTTTTTTTCCAAGACAACATTTCGGCTCAGCATTCAGTATTTGTCAAGGAGTACAACAAACGATAAAAGTAATTTTTACACTATTTTGTATCTTTATCAAAAACTTTTGTATTCATCCAATTACTTGAATTGAATTTAGGATAACTTCTAGACTATTTTGGGTAACTTTTATCAATAAAGCATAAATAACTTTCATTCATTACAGGGCAGCTTTTATAATAGGTGCACAATATTTTATTGTACATTTGATTTTTTAAAAATGTTTGTATTGATTTCATAATTGACGTCAAACTAAATTCTATCGATTTTATTTAATTTTCATAAAAAAAAAACAATATTAGCCTTTCAAAATACGAAATATTTGTTTCCTTAATTATGCCACTTTAATCATATTGCTTCAAATTAGTTATTATTCTTTAACTAATTTATTATAAAAAAAAATTAAATCAATATTTATGTTAGGAAATCATGAAAATCTTATGCATGTACAGAAACTTGCTTTTATTGTTTGAAGTTTAACAAAAATAACTATGCTTGAATATGTAAACAGTAATTATATAGATATATTTTATACATAAGATAAGCCAATGAGAGAGTGACATTTGTCATCCTCACATTGAGGCGCTTATCTTTTAGTATAATATATAGACAGATATTGAAACATTATTGATCATAGACATAAGTTAGTGAAAAAATGCGAGAGAGTGAAACCATATACATTATTATTATTGTTATTATTATTATTTTATTATTATTATTTTTTTTAATAGATATACATTAGTATTTAGTAATAAGCTTTTAGTGAAAATAAATGATAAAATTAAAATGTTGTAACTTATAACCAATAGGATATTAGACTCCAATAATTTGTAGGAAAAATTGTCATTAATAATACAACTCGAGAGATTTTTTAAAACAAGACAACTTTTTAATTATTTCTGAATATTCCAACCTTTGGAGGTGTTAACTTTAAACAAGATAAAAGACATGTAACCTACTAAACCGTTTATCCTGACACATGTCATAATGTAATTGGTCTAATATTAATTTTCTTTTTTTAATAATTAATTCCCAGCCCCCTTAACTCCGATGACCACCACGCACCGAACCCTCTTCCCTAGCGAACCCCCCTCCCTCGCCGAATCCCACTCATCCAACCCCCTCCCCGGTGAACACCATGACGCGAGCCCCCCTCCCCTGACGATGTGAGCCCCACCACGACGTAGCGATAGGGGCATTTTTTAAGGCAAGGGATCGAAAGATGGGAGGTTAAGAGCAAATCCAATGGTTGCTTTTAGGGACTAGCTTGCAATTTTAATAATTTTCAAGCTAATAGCCAAACTATTGAAGGATAGTTTAATAATTAGCTTGGCCAAGCTAATGCCAAGCAAATTAGCTTAGAAATTAATTGTCTCTAATAAAATACTATTTATTTAAAAAATAAAGCTGAAAAATCTAAATGCTAATTAGCTTGACCGTACATTGTGGCATAAATTAGCTAGAAAGAAGAATAGCTTTGCAATCCTAGATGGTATGGCAAGCTAATTTGGCAATTAAATTGCCGTTGGAGTTGCTCTTAGGGGCTAGAAAAGGGAAGAGGTGGGTTTTGAGTTGCTCGGGTGGTTTTCATGAAGGGGCTTCAATAATGGGGAAGGGGGTAGGATCGGAGCTCGAGGAGGGTAACGTGGGGGTTTTTGGGGCTTGTAAAGGGGTGTATTTTTTGAAATAATCCCGCCCATATATTTATTTTAAAAAAGGTTGTCCAAGCCAATTCATTTAGCGGGCTGGATTGGACGGGGTTAGTGGGTTGTCTTGTTCTTAATAACTTCTAAGTATATACCAGAAGCTGTATACTTAGGAGATGATTAAAATAATCTATAATGAAATAACTCAAAACCTATGAATATAAAAATTAAAGGAATTCAATCCGTGAGCTTTCCATTGTATTTCACAGCTAATATATACAAAATACAAAGCCTATCTCCAGCCTATAATTATGCTACAAAATAGGCAAAAGCTAATTACAAATTATTCTAGGCTATAACTAAGGTAACCGAATTACGTATTATTTACATTGACCAAAAGATATATTATGCTAATATATCTTAACACACCCCGTTAGTCAAAGCATAAGGAGGACGGACGATTAGACTATCTTAAAATCTTCAAAGAGCACACGCGGTAGTCCGTCCCTTCGTGAAAATGTCCGCAATTTGGTGCCTAGATGGAACTAAGAATGGCAACGGATCAGATTCGGGTCGAATGTAGCTAAATCCAAACCCGATCTGTTTGGTAAACGGACCCTGGACTCGAATCCAAATCCGAGTCTGAATCCGATCCGACTCGTAATTTTCGGATCCAATGCAAATCCGCTCCGTTTATACGGACCTCCGAAATGATCTGAATAATTTTTTAATTTTTTTTCTTTTTTGTAATGTCATATACCTATGATTTTTTATATTGTCATGCCAAATAAAGTATAAACAAAACATATTTAAATTATGAACTTAGTTACATAACAAAATTTTGCTACAAAACAAGCAAACAATTGTCTTAAGCTATAAAGCATATGCTCATACTCTCAAATTCAGACTCGGATCGGACTCCATCGGACTTTGTGTAGGGTCCAAGTCCGATCCGCCTCCTATTCGGATTTGGATCTATTTTATCGGATTCAGATTCAGACTAATTTTAAACGGATTCGGATCGGATTTTTTCCTTCGAATCGGATCGGATTCAAATCGAACTCGGATTAAATTGCCATCCTTAGATGGAACATGTAAGACTCGAACTTCACCCCTAGCCACCTTTTCACGAACAAAAAGTATGTCCATCTCAATATGTTTGGTACGTTAATGTTGTACCGGGTTACCCGAAAGGTAATTAGCACTCACATTGTCACAATACACCAAAGTCACCTTTTTTATCGGTCAATGTAACTCTAACAAAAGATTTCAAATCCAACAAGACTCGGAAACCACATTGGCAACACCCCGGTACTCTGCCTCTGCACTAGACTTGGAAAGAGTAGCATGGCGTTTAAATGACCAAGATATCAAATTTTCCCCTAAAAATACACAATATCCAGAAGTAGACCGTCTCGTATCGAGGCATCCACCCCAATCAGCATCAGTATAGGATATTATTGAAGAAATAGAAGATGGATAAAGATGCAAGCCATGATCAATAGTACTCTATACATACCGAATTATCCGCTTAAGAGCAGACATATGACAATCTTTCGGATCATGCATGTGTAAGCATACCCGTTGCATGGTGTATGAAATATCCGATCTTGTAAAAGTGAGGTAATGTAGTGCCCCAGCAATACTACGATACAATGTCGGATCTGCAAAAGGTGAACTGACCTTCGGCTTAACCTCAACCGGAGTGGCCGAAGGTTTGCACGATGTCATCCCAGCCCGGTCGATAATCTCCTCATGACGCACCGATATTGTTCTATTGTTTGTGAGATTATCTTTTTTATCTTACTTAAATATTTATATACTGTTTAATTTATACTAGACTATTCCTTCATTTACAATAATAATTGTAACAAATTTAATATACATTTGTATTTTATTACATAATTTTTATCATAAAATCACATTTATAATTTACATATAATGACTCTAGGCATTATTGCTCGGGCCAAAAACTAGTTAAGTTCCTTAAACTTGTTGGCGACTCTTTTTCTCTAACTTCTTTTTCTTGAAGCGCCGCCATGGTTAAATAACATGACCCACAGTAAGGCTCGAGTTGAAAAATTCCCTACAAGTATCAGCAGCAGCTTGTATATCACCAATACATGGCTATTTAATTGAAATTACATATGAATTTGCCACAATAAATTATGTATATTTTATACTTGAAGCCCTGAACCACCGAATTGAACTACCTTCCCCGAAACCCTCTCTCCCCTGCAAAACCACCTGAAACCCACCCCCCCACCCTTAAAAAACCCTAATCGTACTCCCTTTGATGGCGGGGGAAGTTCGATAGGGTTTTCGAGGGTGGGGGATGGGTTTTAGGTGGTTTTGCAGGGAGGGAGGGTATTGGGGAAGAGGGTTCGAAGGTTCAAAAATCAATGGAATAGAGAAGGGAAAGAGAGAATGGGGTTACGCGTGGGGAGGGGGGTTGGCGACGGGGTAAAAGGAATCTGGGCATCGCCGGCGCCTGAGAGCAGGGGAGGAGGCTGTAGCAACGGTGGTGCAGTGGCCGGTGGAGCCATGGAGGAGATGATTTTTTTTCTTAAAAATTTAATTGTTTTTTTTTTGTGAAATTATAAATATTTTAACCATAATTAAAGTTGTTATTAAGTGTTAATTAAAATGTTAAATAAATATATTTTAAAAAAAATTGACCGATCATTCAGGTTTCAAGTAAAATAACTTGTTTAAAGTGGACACCCTTAAAAGGTTGTATTATTTAGAAATAATTAAAACATTGACTTGTTTTTTTTTTTTTTTTTTTTTTTTGAGGAAACATTGACTTGTTTTTGGCAGACCGCAAAAAGGTTATATTATTTTTGACAATTTTTTCTTTTATTATTTGCTAAGAAGATTAAATATGAAGTAGAGTATATAATTTGGTAGGAAAATGTTTAAAGTATGTAATAGCCGAGCTTAATAATAATGCATAGATAGATCAACAGATCTCAATGTTTGTGTAAGTAACAATTATCTAGGTATCTTGCGTTTCATACAAAGTACTACACTACGTCACTACTACCTACAAAGTCCAGTACAAATTTTTTTAATAAAAGTGATATATATTTGATCAACCAACAAACCACCAAATACAATTCATATGCTTATAGTAGAGCTAGGGTAGATCACATACATAGTCGAACTACTAGTCTTCTACCATGTTTTAAATATTGCAAAGCATGAAAAGAGTACTACAACCTATTTGCCACCCACAACACTCAGAATGACTTGAAATATCACGAAACAAATTAGGAGGATGTTTTCTTAACGCCCTCTCCTCATCTTCATCTTGTGGGGAAGTATCCTTGCTATCAACTTTCTTACCCCAAATCACAAGATAGAATCCGATGTTGATTACAATGAGTCCTATCAAGCTGCAAAAACATAAACGTAATATTATGAGAAATTTGCTTTTTCTATTTTTAATTTATATACCTAAAAACGCTATAAATCTTTGTACCTTCCTAAGTGTAGGTCCTCGTTCAACATAAATGGGCTAACTATAGCGATTATGATGCGTGCAATCGGATATAACATTGCGGTAAAAAAAGAGCTATTTTCCGCAATGCACCATGTAGTCAGAATCATCATCAAACCGGAAGAGGTAATCGCCTGAAAAAGTATAAAACAATTAAATTAGATTATTAATCATAAAAAAAACTTTTTTTTTTGAAGAAATCAAATTAACATATTTAGTAACTTAAATTAAAAAGGAATCAAATTTAAAATCTTACTAGGTTGAACATCATAGTGCTCTTAATGGTGAAATCGATATGCATATATTCAATCTTCTGATCTATAATCGCAGCATATACAGTAAATTGAATCGCCCCGATTCCCAAAATTAGTCCTGAAGCTCTCAAAGAATCTGGGTAGCGTTCCAATAACTTTCCCTACGATATTCATCGAAAAATACATGTTGAATTATGTGAGATATACGATTACCATTTATATTTGGTGAGAGTGTTTTTCCTTTTGCTAAGTTGTATACCCCCCTTCCCATGCATATGACTTCTTGAATGATGGACTTAGTCCTTATGTCATTCATCAATTCCACTCTTTTGGGCAGCCCAATTCGGCAAACCAACCGAACCAGCCCATATCTCACTCCCCTCCTCCAACTGAGCCGCCAAATTCACCTACACCAAGCAGCGCACTCTTCCAATTCCTCCCCTCCTCCTAGCCCATGCGTGCAAGCCACTGTTGGGAAGAATAGGACTCCCTTGGTCTGTAGGCCTGTTCAATCAGCCACGGTCCAGATGAGTCCTACCCATATAGCTGGCCCAAGCACACCTCAAATCCAGCAGTCCACCGCTCCTACTAACCCACAAGTTCAACATCCAATTCCCATTTCTTCTCCTATAATGACACGAAGTAGAAATGGTATAGTCAAGCCTAATCCGAAATATAAAAATTTCACGGTTACTATAGTTACGAAATCTCCTTTACCTTATAACCCAATTTCTGCTCTTCGTGACCCGAATTAGAAAATGGCAACGGATGATTAATTTAATGCTCTTATTAAAAAAAATATGTGGGAGTTGGTGCCCCGTCCGCTTGATGTTAATGCAAATTACTGACTTGAAAACTAATTTCCGGCGTAACCAAGGTGCTCAATTATATTCGCCGACACGAACCCTATGGTTAACACATCACTTGCATTCAAAGACACTTTTGGGTGGAAGGCTTGAGTCAAGTAATTTATGTCCAATAGAGAATGTGTTTAGACTATTGTGCTTGATGTACGGAGTATTTTTCAAGTGTAAGAATCAGAAAAAAGGCTTCTTCTATTTATAGAGAAACATGAAAGAACATAAAAGAAGAATCCCAAGCATCAAGGGAGCGAGGTGAATAATCACTTTAAACATCCTATTAAATGGGGGGTTATATCTTAAAAATCATCTTAAATGGGGGGTTATGAAAGTTACTTATCAAGAGAATCATGGTGGTGATTAATCACCTTATTTGTTGAGCCTTTTGGTTTTGATGGACAAATTGACAAACTCGACTAATGAATGTTTTGAGTCTTTGGTGAATAAAGGATTCAAGCAAAGTTCGTTCCGGAGTAGGAACTTGGATGCGGAGTAGCATTCTTTAAAAAGCCTCGTGCAAATCTCACGTTCTAGTTTTAATTGTGAGCACTCAATAATATAAAGTCGGAAAGGAACTCAATGACTTATGTTAAAGACTACTGGAATAAAAGTTAGTTTTAAAAGATAATTTCTTAAAGAAAAGATAATTTGTAAAAGTTTTAATAAAGATAATTATCGAAGATAATTATCTAGTTGTTTTAATAAATAATAAATTTATCTTTTCAAATAAAATCTTTTTAAACAAACTTTTGATAATCTTTTAAATAAAATATTTGATAAAGTTAGCAAGTGGTTTTTCTGTGAGAAAATCTTTTATACGGCTAATGGTTATCAAGTTGTTAGGATAGTGGTTTAATTAGATAAGGCTAGGAAACCTCTTCATGATCACAATCTGTCAAGATAACTCCACAAGTTGTTAGTGGGTTGTTGACATGTGGACGTGATTATGGTGGAGGTTAATGACTAAGCCTTCTCTATAAATACTCGTGCAAACTATCTCAGAAAAACATAACTCTTAAGCATAAAAATTCCAGTAGCCATCTAATAACATAAAGAGAGTTATTTTCCTTCATATATTCTTGAGTGCAATAGGTATTTGTAATCACAGATTGTATACAAGTACTTTGGGGTTGGGATTGTGAGTTTGTAAGGTGAGGTTAAGGAAGCTTCGTTGCTGAAGTCTTCTGTGAGAGTTGGGAACAAGTTCCTAATTTGGGGAACTTGTTAACGGGTTTGAATCTTCACTTGTACAGAGTTTGATTACATAGTGGAAATTTAGAAAAGCCTATATCTTCTCTCGTCATTATTTCATTTAGTTAAATTCCGCAAAAAGTTTTTAGATTTCACCTCAAATACAATTCACCCCCCCTCTTGTATTAGCCAGTTAGAATTTCAGTTGGTATCAGAGCGGGAACTCAGAACACGCAGGCAACCCTGTTGAGTAAGTTCCTGGAAAATGGCTTACACAGAGGAAAAGGAATTCGGGAGTACATCCATTCAAAGGCCTCCATACTTCAATGGCAAATTTTATCCTTATTGGAAGGATAAGATGGAAATCTTTATCCAAGCAGAGAATTATCAGGTATGGCGGATTTTACAAGTAGGAGATTACGAAATTACGAAAACAAATGCTAATAATGAGGTAATCCCTAAACCTATGGATGAGTATGAAAAAACTGATTTTGAAAAACTTGAAATGAATGCTACTGCCAAAAAATTTTTAATTTGGGGACTTGGACCCGATGAACATACTCGTGTCAAAGGGTGCAAGTCCGCAAAGGAAATTTGGGATCTTCTGGAAGTTACACATGAAGGAACGTCAGATGTTAAACGTTCCAAAATAGACATTCTTTTGTCTCAGTATGAGCGCTTTGAAATGGGAAACAAAGAATCCATTAAAGACATGTTTACTCGATTTAAAAGTATTACTAACGAACTAACGTGTCTTGGCAAGATAATTCCTATAGATGAGCAGGTCAGAAAAGTCTTAAGAAGTCTTCCAGACAATGACAGATGGAGAGCAAAGGTTGCAGCGGTGCAGGAATCAAAAGACTTCACCAAGTTCAATCTGGAACAACTTGCGGGTTCCCTCATTACTCACGAGATCCAGTCGAACAATCGGACTCAGGAGACTGTCAAAAGTCAAGGGCTAGCATTAAGAGCTAATGAAGAATCCGAAGAGAAGTCTGACATCGATGAAGAAGAAGCTGCAATGTTGGTGAGAAGGCTGAAAAAATTCTACCGTAACAACAAGTTTTTAGACAAGAAGAAAGGATACAGTAAAAGAAATCAGGAACCCAAAGCCAAGTCTTCTTGTCACAAATGTGGAAGCACCAACCACTTCATCAAAGAGTGTCCATTATGGGAATCTGAGAAAGGCAAGGGAAAAGAAGCTGATCAAAGCAGAAATTCCAAGCCTAACTTTTCTAAAACAAATTTCAGGAAAGCAATGATTTCCACGTGGGGAGAATCAAGTTCCGAAGAAGAGGAACAGGAACACACAGACGATGAAGTAGCCAATCTCTGTCTAATGGCAAAGCATGATGATGAGGTCGCAGTGAGGGGGAACAACCAGTGGTACCTCGATAGCGGTTGTTCTAAGCACATGACAGGAGATGAATCCAGATTTCTCTCACTGACGGCCTATACAGGGGGAACAGTGACCTTTGGAGACAATAAGAAAGGCAACATTGTTGCTGTTGGCAAAGTAGGAAGGTCAAGTTCCCATGCAATTGACAATGTATTTTTAGTCAAGGGTTTGAAGCATAATCTACTCAGTATTTCTCAGTTTTGTGATAAAGGAAACTCTGTAAGCTTTTCTTCTGAAAAATGCAAAATCATCAACAATAACACTGGTAAAATCGTTTTGGAAGGAACTCGTAAAGGGAACACATATACCGTGGACCTTAACAAAGTTCCAAAATACAATCTATCTTGTTTAAGTGTTATTGAGGATGATCCACTTCTATGGCATAAACGTTTTGGACATGCTAGTCTTTCATTGCTTGACAAATTAAGGTCAAAGGACTTGGTAATCGGATTACCTTCTATCAAATTCCTAAATGACAAAATTTGTGAAGCCTGCATCAAAGGAAAGCATGTTCGATCATCATTTAAATCAAAGAAAATGGTAAGCACCACAAAACCATTGGAACTCATTCATATGGATTTGTGTGGCCCCGTTAGAATTCAAAGTAGAAGTGGAAAAAGATATGTCTTAGTTCTTGTGGATGATTATTCTAGATTTACATGGGTCATATTCTTACATAGTAAAGATGAAACTTTTGATATGTTTATGACTTTCTTGAAAAAGACACAAAAATCAATAGGTAATCAACTTATTCATATGAGAACTGACCATGGTACGGAATTCGAAAATTCCAAGTTTGATGAATTTTGCAGAGAACAGGGAATAAGTCACAATTTCTCAGCGCCAAGAACACCACAACAAAATGGTGTGGTTGAGAGGAAGAACCGAACATTGGAAGACATGGCAAGAACAATGCTAATAGCAAGTGGGCTTCCAAGGAATTTTTGGGCAGAAGCCGTCAACACAGCATGCTATATCGTCAACCGAGCCATGCTCAGACCAATGTTGGACAAGACACCTTATGAATTGTTAAAAGGGAGAAAACCTAATATTGCTCATTTAAGAGCTTTTGGATGCAAGTGTTTTGTTCACAATAATGATAAAAGAAATCTTGGAAAATTTGATGAAAGGAGTGATGAAGCAGTCTTTTTAGGATATGCATCTAATAGTAAAGCTTATAGAGTTTACAATAAGAGGACTATGTGTGTAGAAGAAAGTATACATGTGATTTTTGATGAAACTAATAATTATGAATGTGTACAGGAATATGAAGATGGAGATTTCGAAATTGGTCTCACTCGTTCAACAGACCAAGATGAAGAATTAACTCCCAAAAAGCAGCCTGTTCGAATTACTGAAAATGCTGATAAGGAACCTACTGAAGTTCCAAACAATACTGAAGCCTCTGATCAAAATACAGAAGAAACAGAAAATACAGAAGGCGAAGCAAATGCAGAAGCAGAACACCATGAAGAAATGGAAGAAAGAGCAACTCAAAATAACACTTTTATACCAGCTCAATCATTCCAACCAAAGCCATGGAAACATCAAAGGTCACACCCCCTGGATAAAATTATAAGTGACCTAAGCAAGGGAACTCAGACGAGATCCCAACTGAAAAACTTTTGTGCATTCAATGCCTTCCTATCAACACTGGAACCTCGAAATCACAAAGAAGCTTTGGAAGATGCTGATTGGATTGTTGCCATGCAAGAGGAATTAAATGAATTCGAAAGAAACAAAGTGTGGCACCTTGAACCTAAACCAAAGAATCAAAAGGTTATTGGTCTCAAATGGGTATACAGGAATAAGCTAGATGAACATGGCACAATTGTAAGGAACAAGGCAAGATTGGTTGTTAAAGGCTACAATCAGCAGGAAGGTATCGATTTTGAGGAGACTTTTGCTCCTGTAGCTAGATTAGAAGCAATTCGTATTTTAATTGCATTTGCTGCATTTATGGGTTTTAAACTTTATCAAATGGACGTCAAATGTGCTTTTTTAAATGGTTTTTTAAAGGAAGACGTCTATGTTGAACAACCACCTGGATTTGAGGATCCAAACTTTCCTAACCATGTTTTTAAGCTCGATAAAGCACTGTATGGATTAAAACAAGCTCCAAGA